AGTTCAGCGTCCGACTTTTGACTTTGACTCAGGTCATGATCTCATGGTTCGTGAGTTAGAACCCCACATCGGGCTCTGTGCTGACAGTGCGGAGCCTGCTTGGGATTCTCTCTCCCTCTCTCTCTGCCCCTCCCATGCTCTCTCTCTCTCAAAATAAATAAATAAACTTAAAAAAAACAGAATAGAATTAAAATTTTTTCATGAAATAAAGTAAAATAAAATTTGCTGCTCGCGTTACCTTTCTATCAAATAGTGCTGGGTGAGGGTGTTTCAGCTTAAGTTATAAATTAGCTACAGCAGGGTGAACTTCTGTACATCACACACTGCCTCTCTACCTTAGGTTTCTCTCTACCCTTGCAAGATGTCAAGAGCTTGGCCTAGATGCTTTTAAAACCCCAATGGCTCTCACATTCTAGGATTTCTAGGATTCGAGGATCCAACAGGTTATTGATGGTGGAGAAAAGGCACCAGAGCCAGCTGAACACAATGCTAAGTAAGTAGTTACACTCAACGTTTAGTGTAACTAAGAGGCTACACTAACCTCTGGGCTCTGGACAGGATGCCCAAGAAAAGCTCAAGGACTCCCTCACAGCCACCCCACAGCTTGTGTGTCCTGAGGCGGGAGACAGGAGACAGTGCTATTCTACCACGGCCACAAGGCCAGCCCAGCGGCTGATAAGAGCATCTCAGGAAAGCCCCGCTCTGGTGTGGGACTGGCCCCAGGCTCAGCACACGGCCACCTATTCACAGATGAGCTGGTCCGCAGCTCGACAGGCAGAGCTGATACATGGCATGCTGTCGGCTTACGCCCAGGGTGCAGTGGGACAGAAACACATTCCAGCTGCCCACAGGTTCCAGAAGACCGACCTCACCTGTGTGCCACCCATCTGTGGGAGCCCGACAAGTGGGGAAAAAAACCAACGCGTTATATATTGTGCTTGTAAGACCTAATCCAAATTCTAGCAGATTTGGATTGTGTGTCTATCAGACTCCTAAAAGAAGAATTCTTTAAAAAGAAAAAAAAAAAAAGCTTATAACTATCAGTTTCATCCAAAGCATTATTCCGTATTATTGTTTTGTTTTCTGGAACCGATTAAGATGGTGCCTTCTGAATCAAGATGGATTGCAAGATAGTCATCCCCCTGGCAGGCTGAGCACCTGGGAGTCTTCACAGTCTGTCCCAAGCCACAGCCCACTTTCCACCCCTCGAGAGCAGCATTCAGCAAACACGTATTGGGTCTTATGCCGAGCACCAGGTACAACAGCAAATCCCTGTCCACAGCCCTCAGCGGCTTTCCAGACATACAGGGAGCTGGTGTGGAGAATGCCAAGTAGGAAGAAAGTATGACTGCACAGAATTCCGTGGTAAGTATAGCGTGCTTGCATTGGGAGTGCCTAACTCTGGCTTAGAGGATTTGGGAAGGCTTTCTGGGGGAAGTGACATCTAACTTGGTTAAGAACTGACCAAGAGAAGACGAGAAGGAAGAAACTGTCCCCACAGAGACAGTGATGTGTGTCAAAGACTAGAAGTGGAAGTGAACAAGGAACACTCCCAGATGGCTGGAACTAAAGGGGCCAGGGACAGGAGATGAATGACGGGTCTTGAATGCCCCGTGGAGGAGCTGAAGGTGGCCTAACTCTAACTCTAAGGCAGTGGCCATGAAAATGGAGCACCCAGTGTCATTCTACGTAGCCTCAGCCAGATTAAACTGCTTCCCACGCTCCAAGCAAGCCACCTCCTCCTGGGCTGTCTTGCCTTTGCTCAAGCCGTCCCTTCTCTCTTAAATGCTTCCTCTGTGCCTGTCTTCCTTTTTCCGTTTAGAAAATCCCACACAGACTTCTGCAAGGGGCCTCTCAAAGGTCTCTTCCCTTACAAATCCTTCCCAACTCCAAGGCTGAATCAATCACTCCCTAACCACATGCACATATTTCTTGTAATGGCAAACTTGGGGGTGGGTGTGCCTACCCAAATTAATATCCATCGTCTTTCAGAACTGCCCCCTTGTTGGCAGGAAAGCAGCTGTGTGTCTGGGTCATGTGACCATGTGCCTTGTGCATCACGGACTCAGTCAGGAGAGGACATCCGACCCACATCTTGCCTTTCTCATTTAGACATCAGGGCTGAGACAGACTAGCTAGTGCTTAAGTCGGAGGACATTTAAACTTGGGATCTGTGGGCGAGACATCTCCACTGCATGGAGAAGTACAGAGAGCTAAGTGAGAAAACAAACCACTTCCATGGCTCCAGACAACTTTCCAGTGTCTTGTTCTAGACATTAATGATCCCTGATCAAATGTCCAGGTGCTGAGTGGCAGGAATACCCCTGCATCTTTTAAAAATATACATTATTGAGGCACCTGGGTGGCTCAGTCGGTTAAGTGTCTGACTTTTGACGTTGGCTCAGGTCATGATCTCGTGGTTGTGAGATCAAGCCCTTGTGTTGGGCTCTGCACCCAGAGTTGGGATTCTCTCTCTGCCTCTCTCTCTGTTCCTCCCTACTCAGGTGAAACACTTAAAAAATAAATAAAAAATAATACAAAGTTAAAAAAAATGATTATTTAGGTATAGTTGATATACAATGTTGTATTACTTTCAGGTGCACAACATAGTCATTGAACAATTCTATTCATTGCCCAGTGCTCATCAAGGTTAAGTCTGGTCACCATCTGACACTATACAATGTTATTACAGTATCATATTGTATGGTATTTATTCCCTGTACTGTGCTTTTCATCTCTGTGACTTATTTTCTAACTGAGAGTTTGCACTTAATCCCAGTCATCGATTCCATACATCCTCCTGGCCCCCTCCCCTCTGCCAGTTGCCAGTTTATTCTCTGTATTTACGAGTCTATTTCTGATTTTTTTTTTATTTTTTAAAAACTTGAAATTTAATTAATTAATTATTTTATTTATTTATTTGATTTGAGAAAGAGATGAGATCACAACCTGAGCTGAAATTAAGAGTCCAATGCTTAACTGACTGACCATGCAGGCACCCCTCAATATGTTTTTATTCCAAATATAAGTGAAACCGTATGGTATTTATCTTCCTCTGTCTGACTTATTTCATACCCTCTAGGTCTATCTATATTGTCTCAAAAGACAAGATTTCATTCCTTATGGCTAAATAATATTTCATTGTGTGTGTGTGTGTATGTATATATGTACATATATATGTATACATATATACACACATATACATATATACATATGTATGTATGTACGTATATATACATACACACACACACACACGCACACACACATACACCCCACTTCTTTATTCACTTATCTGTCGATGGACGCTTGGGTTTCCTCCATATCTTGGCTGTTGTAAATAATGCTGCAATGAACATAGGGATGCATGTATCTTTTCCAATCAGTGTTTGTGTCCTTTGGGGAATTACTGGATCATATGGTAATTCTAGTTTTAATTTTTGGGGGAATCTCCATACTGTTTTCCATGGTGGTTGCATGAGTTTACATTCCCACCAGCAGTGTGTGAAGGTTTCCCTTTCTCCACATCCTTGCCAACACTTGTTATTTTTTGCCTTTCTAATTACTAGCCATTCTGACTTGTATGAAGTGTTTTCTTATTGTGGTTCTGATTTGCATTTCCCTGATGATCAGTGATACTAAGCATCTTTTCATGTGTCTGTTGGCCATCATCTGTATGTCTTCTTTCGAAGAATGTCTCTTTGGGTCCTCTGCCCATTTTTAATTCAGATTTTTCTTTTTTGGTGTTGACTTGCATAAGTTCTTTATATACTTTGGATATTACCTCCTTATTGAATAAATCATTTGCAAATATATTCTCCCATTCACTAGGTTGCCTTTCTCTTTTGTTGGTAGTTTCCTTTGCTGTGCAAAAGTTTTCCATTTTGGTGTAGACTCAATAGTTTATTTTTACTTTTGTTTGCCCTTGCCTTGGAATAAGTTTCAGATACTAATATCACATGAGTCCTGAAAAAGACACTCTTTCTTTACCTTTCAATGCCTTTATACAGCAGTAACTCAGTCCTATACTAAAATTAAAGCTGATACATAGGTCACTTTCCTAACCTGTCACGTTCCTAACCAACTCCCACTGCAGACGTGATGAAGGGATGACAGCACTCTCTATCTGAGCCTCCTAAGTCATCACCATGGTGGTCCACGTGGCCTCAAGAAATTAAATGGAGTTGGCACCCAATAGAAAAGGTATTGGCCATCAATGTTCTAGACTGGAATCTACTTGAAGGAAGGGACTGTGTCCTTTCCATGGTTGTAATCACAGCAGCTGTGCTTGATACAAGGTCAGTATGGAATAATGCCTGCTTGAAGGAGACATTCTGACCATAGTATTTCAGCCTGATTGCTTACTCTTGTCTCTTCATTCACCCATCTTACCTGGATGGGATTCATTATTTCCCATTTTAGAAACAAGGTAAGTGATTCGTTTAGTAGTGAAAGACCTGAAATAGAACAGTGTGTCTTGGCCTCAGATGCACACTTACAACCCATCTCTACCCATCTAAAACATTTGTTACACTTTTTTGTCTCTGAGGATATGGTCATATTTTAGAGTGACATCACTTTGGGGCAATGGTTACTAAAACCATACAGAATCAAAGCATTCTGTTCTTTCTAAATTACTTACATTCATGTAAAGTTGGCCCTACTAACTTATTTGTACATTATTTTGCCAGTGTATCCATAATTTATCACAAATTTATATGCGATCTGGAAAAAAATGATGTAACTACCACATGATAACCTGTAAACTTCAGGAACTGTAAATCCCATGGACTTCAGGAAGTGTAAACTTCAGGAAACCTGTAAATTTCAGGAACTGTGTCTGCCACAGCCAAGCCAAGATCATTCCTCTCCCCACTTAATGTCTTTATCACATACAGCCATCCAACACCCTATGTCCAACTTTACAAGAGTCTTCCTGACTACCTTGATAGATTATGATTAGTCAACAAATAAAAAGAGCATCTTAAAAATCAGTAACATACCAACTCCATTAACTGTTTGAGCTGACCTATCTCTTCTGGCAGCGATCCAAGTTTGTTGTTACTTGCGATTAAGACTTTGAGAGGCAGACCACACAGGCAGGCAGGCAGGGCAGACAGCTGATTTCGACTGCAAAGACAATACAAGAACACGGTAAACACACAAGCCACGTCATACCGTTTCCGATTATGTTTGTGAATAAGCGAGAAGAAAGGAGTGATTGGAGAAGACGTCTGACAAATACAAAAAGTCCAATGAAGTTTCCGTACGTGTAATCCCTCAAGTCCCAAGTACAAAAGACAATAAAATCTATTTCTAGGAAAGAAAGGCATAGGCAGTTCTGCGGGAAACAACGTTTCCCGGCACAAGGAACCCCACCAAGCCCCCTGCAGAAGCCGAGTCCTTGGCCAGCCAGGAGGCAGATGGGCATCGCGCCCTGCGTCACCAATAACAACGGGAAGCGGGTGCCAACTCTTCTCTTTCTGACAATGTAGCAGGAAACTCAGCGAGAAACGAGCACCACAAAGGCATCCTCCCGTCCATGTTACAGTGATGGAGAAGATCGTTTTGCTGCAACTTACAAAAGACCACCAGCCTGATTTCCAACATTTTGACTCTGCTTCCTTTTGCTCACACAAGAGTCACTGCGCTTAACGTCTATTTGGGCATCTGCAAGGGAGCTAACCAAAAGAAAAAAAAAAGTAATGTTGGCCTTCTGGCAAAAGTGAATCTGGAACCCTGAGGGGTTCAATTTCACAGGGTACCCAGAAAAATCTGGGTACAACTCTCATCTCTGCTTTGCATGAAGAGGTTCTCTACCCAGAAGTATCTGAACTTCCTGTTATCAATGCTCAGTTTGCTGGGAAATGGGAAAATAATGGATAAATGAAATCTGTGAACCATCTTTATGTGTGTCAGCCATTTATTTCAACCTCTTCTCCCACAAAAAGCCCTTTTCCTGACATCAGGGACGGAGAGGGATGGTATTCAGTTTCCCTGCCTTTCTTTCCCCACCACTCTGCTGACAGAGACAATGACCAGGCAGTGAAATATCTAAAAACACGTTTGTCTTGCTATTGCAACTACGCAGAACTTCTTTTGTGCATACGCGCACACATGCATGAAGTGTCTGAGGCGGTGGTATTGTGGGCACGTGTGGACACACATAAATCTGTGTGTGTGAGGGGGAGGGACAGATGCACTGAAAACACACCAAGATGCTATCGGTAGTCATGGGGGCTGGAGATTAGGTACAAGGAGTGTTCTTTACATTTCTCTTTCTTATACTTTGCTGAGTTTTCCAAAATTCCTACAAAGTGCATTTATGATTAAGAAACCGATTATCACTATAAAAAGATAAACTTCATCTGGCTACTGGTTGCATGAGTGCTTCTGTTTTTTGAACATTCACTGAGATGTGTCCTTATGAGCTGCACACTTTTCTGTATGTATTACATTTTAAAGGTTTTCCTCCCCTACTCCCCCATATGACGAGGTGGTAATCCGGCTAAACAAAGGGCATCTCTAGCTGATGGGCTGAGAAGAAAACACATGGTGCGCTCTGGAAAGAACCTTTCTCATGTGGATGATCCCCTGTAAATATCCTGACGTTTCTTCTCTTCCAGGTACCCAAGGCCTGGGTAATAAGCTTTATCAAGAAAAGACACAGCCAATCTTCCCTCCATTGCCCAGATTTACAAAGAAAGCTATTTCCAGAAAGGAGCAGAAGGAGAGAGGTTTCTCTAAGGGGGTCCAGCAGAGGGACGGAGAAGATCGAAACCCTACAGGGGGCAGGTGGGGGGAGGTCCCTGGCACTGGAAGGACCAGGTGGCTGTTCACCTCCCCCTGGTTAGAGTGACAGGGGAAAATAGGGTGATGGGCCCACCCTGGCACTGTCTCCTGATCTCTGAGGGCAGTGAAAGGGGGTTACTTAGGCTGCCAGTTTCTGACATCCACCCACAGGAGCCCAGAGGGGCTATTCTGGCTGGTTGAGGGGGCTTCCTGGTGCTCTGATGGGAGACAGCTTTCTTCAAGCTCCAAAAAAATTAAAAACAAAAAAAAACAAAAAAACCCCGAAACCTCCTTAGACACTATCTCCGGGAAGAGAACTAAGTTTATTAAAAGGTGGCACATAAACAGTCTGGAATGTAACCTGTGGTTATAAAACATTTACTTTTTTTTTTTTTTAAGTTTTATTTATTTATTTTTGAGAGAGACAGTATGCACACACGCGAGCAGGGGAGGGGCAGCAAGAGAGGGAGAGAGAGAATCCCAAGCAGGCTCTTCGCTGTCAACATGGAGCCCAAAGCAGGGCTCGATCCCAGGAACCGTGAGATTGTGACCTGAGCAGAAATCAATAGTCTGACACTTAACCAACTGAGCCACCCACGCGCCCTGTGGTTGTAAAATATTTATTAACATGTATTTTCATAAAGTGAGGATTAGTAAAAAAAAAAATGCTAATAAGGCCTGTTTTTTTTTTTTTTTTATTTTGGAGACACATTTAAACTTCCTTTTGAAGAGAAGCTAAGGAAACAAAGATTAGTATTTTGAAAAACTTCTACATGCTTATTTTCACAAATTAACACTTAGAGTTCAAGATTCTTCCCGTGTTTCTTTGCTTGGAAACTCAGATTTAAACTATTCCCAGTCTCACCTTGACACAGGTATCTTGTCAGACTGACAGACACTGAACCGAGAGAGCTACTGATAATACCATTAAGCAATGCAGGGGTGGCTGGGTGGCTCAGTAGGTTGACAATCTGACTCTTGATTTCGGCTCAGGTCATGATCTCATGATTTGTGAGATCGAGCCCCAAGTTGGGCTCCACACTGACAGCACAGAGCCTGCTTGAGATTCTCTCTTTCCCTCCTTCTCTCTCTCTCTCTCTCTCTCTCTCTCTCTCTCTCTTTGCTCCTCCTGCGCTAACACACACACACACTTTCTCTCCCTCTAAATAAATGAATAAACTTAAAAAAAAAAAAAACAATGCTCTGCTCATTCAGAAGCATGAATATTTGAGAGTACATGGGATTATTTTCATGGGATTTCTAGGATGGATACTCACTTATTTTCTTTTTAAGTGTTGTAGTTTTGTTTACTTTTTATTTATTTATTTAATATGAAATTTATTGTCAAACTGGTTTCCATACAACACCCAGGGCTCATCCAGACAGGTTCCCTCCTCAATGCCCCTCACCCGCTTTCCCCCTCCCCCCCACCCCCAACGACCCTCAGTTGGATGGATACTCATTTAAAACAAAATAACACTTAAGCATTTTAAATTTACATGTTAGCATTAATTTTAAGTATTAAAATTTATTTAATATTTTATTAAAATCTATTTTAGTATTTTAATATTTAATAATACAATTTATTTAATACTTATTTGTTAAAAAATAAGTATGATTTCTTTGACGGGGATACAAGCCTTTTATACTAAAGGTTGCTGATGGAATCGTCTGTTTATTTATGTCCCACACATACTGTATGTAGTCACCTGTAGAAAAATCCAGGTGCCAGAACTTTGGTCATAATAAGCATGCCACAGACCTGGGCACATCTTTCTTGTATGTTGTTGATCTATTCTCTCAAGCTCTAGTGCACGTACGTTACCACTGGATGCCCCTCTATTCCTTGTAATTTCCCCAAGAGATAAAGGAAATACACGTGCACACAAAAACCCATTAGCTGTCCAGCAAATATTTATAAAGGACAGGAGAAATTATGTTTCCTTTAATCCTCTGCCCACTAAAGACCACATCGGCTGCCTGACTTTTTTGTTTTTTGTATTTTTTTTTTTTTTGAAACCACTCATTTGGCAGCAATTTTTCTCGAGCAAGTAAGTGCCTCAGGCTGCAAACCACTATCCTGCCCCCCACTTGTCTCCTGGAGGCCTCTGTGCTAAAAACAGGCCTTTTGCAGAACCGATGTTTAAAATAAGGCCATACAGCGTCTGATAAGGTAACGGCCAACTTTGGTTTTCAAATCTACCCTGTAGGCTCCATCTGAAAGCAGAATTTAAAAAAAAAAAAAAACAATTTTTTTTAACTGGCTCATTACAGAAGATCAAATTAGCGGGGGGAAAAGGGCCACTCGTTCAGAAGTAGAAATTACAGATTTGGTGGTGGCAGGATGAGCCTTCCCACCCAGCATCTCCAGTCACTCTCCCTGCCCAGTCTGGGTGGAGGATGGCACAGGGAGGGGGGAGGAGGGGCGGGAAGACCGTAGGCTTTTATCGCTAATGCTTCCTCTTCCATCTTTCTCTGTCGAACGACTCCCTACTAGATTTATTGGCCTATTTCCTCATGTCAGGATGAAACAAGGCAGCTCAACATAATCTGAATACTTTTGACAGCTTTAGTTTACAGGATAAACTTCTCTTGGCTTCAAGGACCACGATCCCTCACTCGACATAATTCCTGAACTAAGGAATTTGCAAACCAAAGCACTACCGTATGGTTTTACTTTTAGAGAGCCTTATTTTAATGTGTTTTGACCATGGCACTTATTAATATCCATGACTTCAGACTTAATGGTGGTATTTAACATTATTTATTATCAGTTTATCAGAAAGTTATTTTCCCTAAAGTATGCAATAATAAAAATAACTATATTCTGACATGTGATTTTAGGATCAGGGGACCATATATATTTTTTTATTCTACTGGAATACAACTCTTTTCAGTATATGGGTTCACTTAATAATTGAGCAGAACTCACTTAGTAGGAAATAATTTATAGAAAGATTTTTATAACATATTCACCTAGTTAACTAGGGAAGAGGTCACCAACTGTGGAATTAGAAAGCCTGGGTTCAAATCTCATGTGTGTCACAAACGTTTAGTTTAGGTAGAACATTTAACCCCTCTGGGTTTTGCCGTCTATAAAACATAAATAATAATACCTATCTAACATGAGACATGAGACTCTGGATGAAAAAGTGCTCAGCCCAACATTAAGTCTCTACAGAAAGATTAAACCATACCCAAACACTCACGTAGCAAACCAGTGGGTAGGGGGCCAAAAAGAAGGTATGTGCACTTAGTTTGGTTTCAGTTATTTATTTTATTTCCTAACTGCTAAAATTGCCGCCACTTCTAAAATACGGTTACGTGTTCCACTCATT